GCTCGCCAGATCGGTGTGAGCTCAGGACCATTTACAACGGCACAGACACCGAGAAGTTCAAGCGCACACCCGAGATGGCAGTTGAGGCCAAGAAGAGGTACCCCATCGAGGAAGATATGGATGAAAGTGAAATTATTTTGCATCCGTGGATCTAGAGTGATGTGTCCATTGGGATGTGGAGCAGCAGTACGATGCACCATGCGGCAAGTTTTGGAGCACATAGCTGGCTGCCCTTTGTGCACTGTCAATTGTGTCCCACTGCAGGGCCCGTTGCGTTTGTGAAAAAGGCAAGAGTGAAAGCATGTATTATTTTTCTAGAGCTGCCCTTGCAGCATTCAGCAATCGTGGCACAGGCGAAATTAGAGCTGAAACAGCGGGGCCCACGGGCCTCAGACGAAATTCCGGCTGTCGGAGGTGGAGGCTTTGAGTGTTTAAACCATTCCTGAGGTGTCGTGTGGAAGAACCACGCAGCACATCAAGATATGGTCTATAATCAGAAGCCACGCTTCCGGAGGGGAGGAGAGGGTAAAACGTACAGGCGTGGGTACATACCGAGTTCTCCGAAGCTGGCCATGCCAAGACCATGACGAGAGGGTTCTTGCTTCCACACTCCGGAGACATCCCAACAAAGCTGTCCAGCGTTGCATTCAGCTGCTTGAGACATCACGCACATGTGCATGCATTGGCATAGGCATTCGATGCAGTTAACAGAGCTTGTTCATCGTCCGCCTCACAGGGCTTTGTCGTCGACTGCCCGACTCTTGTGCGTGATTTTACGTGCCACCTCCGTGCAGCACAAGCCAACCAACTCTCTGTAACCCAGCGGAGAATGGGGGGCATCCCTTAGCGTTAAGCTAGTTGAGCTTGCTCAGCCGACGACAAGGTTTGAGGTAGGTCACCCACAGCCACAGCATCCTAGTCTTGACATCTATCGCAGGAGGGTAAGTTTGTGGTGGGCAGCATTGGCCGATTCGTTGCGGCCAAAGGGCAAAAGGTGCTGCAGCTTGGTTGCGTTGAGACGCGAGACGGCATATCATGCTTTTGGTGTTGTCTAGTTAGGGACGTGAAAATCTTCCAGGCTCCTCAGCAACATTGGCGAGTTTATGGTATGTTTGAGGTGTCCGTGGTGATCTTCAAGGATACGCAGATAAAGCCCTTGCTGAACATCGTATCGAGTTGCTAGCCGAGGCTTCGAGCAGTGAAGAAGCTTTTGGAGACAGGAAAGGTGCCCAATATCCACGTGTCTTAGTCGCAGAGTTGGAGTGTTGAGTAAGGTCTAGTCATGATGTGTAGGCCATAGTGCTGGCACCGTCCATGTTGGTTCTGGCTTCGCCTTTCAACCACTGAGAGGCTACCGTACCTAGACAGTCATAAAATCCAGGGCAAGCCGGCAAGCGAGAAGGCGGACAGGAGGAGTTAAGACACAAGTTAGGCTGCCCCGCTGCTCGTAACATGGGCAAATGGCTCGCCTGCACAGGTCTTGATGGTCGGCGAAGGCCTTTGTTACTGTAAAAAGTTTTGAGTGCCTATACTTCGAACAGTTTGGAGTGATGTGGGAGCTCCGCCGAGGAAGCAGGCGGTGGCTTGAGCGGTTTGCGTTTGGGGTTTAGGGTTTAGGGCCAGGGTCTGGGTGGCTTGAGGCCGGGGACGGTGCCGTTTCAGGGCTTGGGTCGTGAATGTCGTGAGGAGTTTGAGTTTGTGTAGCTGTTCAGTCCAAGATTTCTGGGGTTGCCTCTGGTTGATTACTGTTTGCCTGCTGCAACCTACTGCTGCTGCTGGTGGCGCTGCTACTACTACCCCTATGACTAATGCCACCACAACGACGATGACAACGACTGCTGCTGCTGCTGTTGCTGCTACTACCACAACTATATACAACTACAAATCCTACCTACTACGTTACTACTACTACTACTACTACTACGACAGCCTTGCTTCCTTACATTACAAGGAGTGACGGAATTTGAGGCAAGATGCCACGCTCGCAGGTGACCTGAAGGAGGACATTGAGAAAATGGTCGTTGATTTGGGCCTGTCTTCCGCTGTTTCCATCCATCCTTTCACCAAGGAGACAGTCCCATTCGGTTCAGCGGTTTGGTTTTGTGAGTTTCGCTTGGGCCGGCCGCTTGCGGGACGGGAGATTGGCAGAGCGTAGACTGCAAGAAGGGTCCTCTCCCAGGAGCCGTTCTATGTCTTCGAGGCCTGCGATTGCATTGCTTTGGCCTCTTTCCTGGAAGGCCGAGCTGGGTAGCAGCATGTGCAGTGAAGTGTCAGCCTGGTGTGGCCCTGACCCTGGCCCCAAGGCCTTCCGAATGCCTTGCTGGAAGCTCTGGCCATGGAGAAGCCTTGCGTGGCCTCGCGCATTTACGGCATGCCCGAAGTGGTGGTGGATGGGCAGACAGGCTACTGCTTTGAAGCTGGCAAGGCGGCAAATCCTCCTGCAGTTTGCTGTTGAATTCCATGGAATCCTGGAAGCATTCCGCAGTCCATGTCACAAGCCGGAATCGAAGTCAGAGGTGCCACATGCATGGCTGCGTAGCGCTATGCGCCGGGCAAATCCGGTGCAGCCCAGAAGCAAAAAAAGTTTCACAAGCCACTTTCCAGAGCTTTAGTTCGGAATCCATCGATGCACCTGACCATTGTGCAGCGACACCCCAGTTTCAAATCGCCAGCCTACACCCTTAGCTCCACACCCTGCTGAAAGCCCCATGAACTCGAACTGAGAGCGAATAAGTAGCCCCATGGTGTCTGGTCGTTCGTGGTCGAAGGAGTACATCTCGAGAGCATGTCAAGCCAGCCAGTGCGATCAGCTTTTTACGTCCAAGCATGCGCAAACCAAATTGACATGCGATAGATGCCAAATGATGCCAACATGGATAAAAACGGGGCAGCCAGAGCCATGGCTTCCTCAATCTTCCAACAAGCTTCAAGCAGAGAATTTGCCATAAACCACCCCTAGAGCCTGCCCTAGAGCTACAGACTTCCAGTCCTGGATGAGAAGATCACATGCACACTGCCAATCTCAGTTTGGGGATACGATGAGCGAAGTCGTTACGGGCACATCCGCTTGTTAAACTCGCAGGTGGAAGATGAGAGCACCTGGGATGCCATGGCCGAAGGCTGTGCCGAGGCTATCGCCAAGACTCTCGGCGGAGTTGGCAGCATGAACTCTGGCCGGGAGTACGAAGCACATTGAAAATCAGCGGAGTAGCTCCAAGTTCGACTCAAAGCGCGACTCGTGAAGTGCACTGGCATCACAAAGCCTAGCAAACGACGACCTAAGGATCGCTGCTTTGGACGAAGCAGGGCGTCTAGCCATGGCGGCCAACGGGAAGAAGCTGGTCTTTGAGGGCCATGACAAGGCCCTCGTGGCGTGACGGTTGAGGGCATAAGCCCACAAATCGGAACGATTAGCCTCGGCACATAGTTTGTCGGAAATTGCTGCCGTGAGTCATTGGTGATGTTGTATCACATCAGGCCGCACAAGTCGGCGTGTAATTGTCACACGAAAGCAAAACTGCAGAGCAGAGCCAATGCGCACAAGGTCAAGTGCTTTCAACGACGCTCGGCTGTAGCTCTATCGACCACGGCGACCACGTCCCAAGAAGCGGATTGGAGGCAGACGGTCGAGGCGTGTCTCCCAGCTTGTGCCGCCCAGGTATCCTGGACCTCATCCAGGAGAAGGCCAGAAGCACAGCACGGCATTTCCCCTCTAAGGCACACAAAGCACTTCTAGTAAGCTCCCCATCAGAAGGTCGATGTTTCTAGAAGCCACGTCCATCACCCCTGCCGGTGCAACCCCAAAATGCCTGTTGATCTGCCCGGTTGTGAGCGCCCAAACTCTGGGTAAGGCTGCAAATGCTGCAATGAGTCCTCTACACCGCGAAACGATGCTCCAAGACATGTAATCACATGCCGCAGGGCTTAGAGACTTAGAGGCGGCTTGGCGACACACTCCATGGTGGCGATAGCGAACTCACCTGCTGAAAACCAATAGAAGCTTTGCGACATCGCACGACATCCATCCAATGCTTTTAAGCAGCGCCGTAGACGTTAGTATGCAGCCTATCCACGGGTGGATGGCGGAAAACTGCAGGTAGTACTCTGGAGGTCACAGCAGACTTTCTTGAGTGCCCTCGCGACAAGGCCAAGTCGGTGCTCAGTGCCGAGAAAGCCGTCGAATTGGTTGCGGCGGCGGTCTCCAAAGCCACCTGAGGGCGCAGACGAAGTTGTGATGGGTTAAGCAATCGTGCTGTAGCCCAGAGCTAGCAGTGCTTGTTCTTTCTCGATCCACCGGGCCAAGTCTGCCTCTCCCACACCAAGCAGAGTACAAAGGCTAGAGTCGCTGAAGAGCCGGTCGCGGTCATAGCGATGGCAGCTGTACTTTGTTAGCTGACGGTCTAAACTACCGGATGCACCGGCCTCAAACCATGAGTGGACCCGGTGGTGTCTGGTTTCACGAGTGGCTCGAGCTGACCACAAATCTTTGGTTGGTCCTGTCTCAAGCGGCTCGAATGTGCCGCCTTGAGAAACGATCGGTTCTGTTGACATGTTGAAGGATTCGCGTGTCATGTAGACCTGTTTGACTGTTTGGCTTGATCCTACATCGAACTGACGACCGGCGGCAAGTTTCCGTCGTCCTGGAATTGTACTTTAGGATGTGAGGCAAAGAACCGATACAAAAGTGCCGCGCCTCGCAACGGAATTCCGGGTGATACTGTCGAAGACTGCAGATAGTTCGAAAGAGACAAGTACTTAATTATCAAGGCGAAGCAGGAAGACAGACAACATCATGCTTACAGGAATCTGCGCGTGCTTGGGTTCAGCCAATCCTGTTGTTGCGTCCTGCGCAGCGAAAGCTTTCTTCCTGACATCATCACAGCCTGGCTATGTCTTAACAACGCTGGCGGGCTTGCTTGGATGATTGCCTTGCCGCAGTCTGGCGCGAAAGAGTGTCACAACGAGTCGGTATCCCACCAGTTGCCCTAGACATCGCTGCCATGACCCGCATGGGGCCCTGGGGCTTTTGGGATGCCCCCATCTTGCCACTTGCCGATCAGCTTTGTGCGAATTTCTATTTCAGGCGGAGATTGAGACTGCAAGCAATGTGCTGTAAATTCAACATCCAGTTGTTGCTCGGCGGACTTTCCGTATCTGCATGCGCGTTGCCATCCGGTGAGTGCGAGGTTGTTGCCCATTGCCTTTCTGGTGGCGATGGTCTTGAAACCCAAGCCTATGCCAACTGCAAAGAGCCGCTGCGTATATTTCGACGTTGTCAAACCGCTAGAGCCGCTAGAGTACTTTGGTGGGAGAGGTCGAAATGAAGAACTTAGAGTCGAATGGCGAGTTGAGTTGGCGCGTGACCGCGAGTGTTGGGTGTTCAAACAGTGCAAGCCATGAGCAGTCGGCGATTGAATACGAGCCTGCGGTTACCGGTTACCTTTGCCAATGCATTACTCAGGCAGCATGTCGTGCCGACATCGCATGTCCGCATAGCCGCATGTGAAAGCAGCGCAAGCTTGCAACACAACATCCGAGAAAGGGAAAGCAAGGCGGCTCCAAGGCTGACGGTTTGCTTTTCTTGACCAGGAGCCTCTGGTGTGCGGCAGTCATCCTGTTTGTGCTGAAGCTGTGGTATCTCCAGGCGGCCCCCCTCGAGGCCCGAGCAGTCATACCCGCCTTTGCGATAATGATCTTCCGCACTTTGCCGTGAGGGCCCCATCAATGTCCTGTTACACCAGCCGACAACCGGTCCTGAATCCCACGATTTAACCCAGCCCTGCTGGCTGAAGGTCATTCAGCGTAGGCCTAGCTTGCCCAGTATCGGACTCGACCTTAGCTCCCGGAGGCCTGCGCCTGCTTCATCAAAGGCTGCTTGCAGGCGCTGACGCCTTGCAGCATCGTGGCAGGAGTTCCGTGGCTGTAGATTCTCGTAGCCTTTCTTCAACGCTATGCCTTGTTGCTTGTTCTTCTGCAGCCAAGCATCATACAGGTTCTTCATGTTCCAGCGTATCGTCAGCGCTGTCACACCTCGCGAACCTTATAGTTGCAGTGATAGCAGCTCGGCTTACAGGCTGCCGCACTTCGAGCCTCGAGCCAATATGCTACTCGCTTCGCCCTAGAGCCGCCTCCGGTTCCGGTTTGGGCTGTAAACCACTAACCTTTTCCAATTATCAAGTCTTACGGCGCCGATGGTCGCCGCCGTGAGACTGCTGTCTTGCTTGTTATCAAAGGGAGAGGTGATGCCGATGAGCAGGTCACTGAGGTTTGTGCACCCCGTAAATTGCATGGTTTCCGAGCCGGGAACTGACGTGCCGGTCGGGGCAGCTGAACACGCTGCCCCTTGCAGAGGCCGGAGCAGATAACGCTTGGAGCCCTGAATTGTCCAAGCTCAGATGTCGCATGGTCCGCGGGCTCAGCGATGCGTAACCTCATCCTGGAATAGTAAACATAGTAAATGCTTGGAATCGCTTGGCGAGGAGCCATCTTCCTGTTCGACTGCATGGAGTCCGCGCATTGCCTTGCATGGATGAAGGCCCTGCGCGACCCTTTGGTTTGTGAAGGTTGCTGGAGCACCTGTCCAGGTCGAGTCGAGACTTGCTCCGAAGTTTCGTCTAAAGTGGCGTCACTGAATCTCGGGACACCAGACGGCATCCGAAGGTACAGTTGCGGGTTATCACAGATAGCCACCCGGTGGCCGAAGTGATGCTCATCGGCTTCTGCTTTGCTTTCGTGGTGGGGCTCCCAAGCCAGAAGGGCCGAGAGATGCCATTCATGTCATTTCATGTTGTAGACTTCGGGATTGGGTACAGACCCATCCCGTCTCAAGTCACCAGACAAGATCTTGAAAGTTCATGCTTGAGCGTCTTGGGTGTTTAGAGACTGAACTCCCGAGGTGGAAGGAGCCTCCGGCTTCGGCACTCCTGCAGCCCTCGCGGCACCAATGCTCTACTCCATGGGGCACCCGAAGATGGACTCCTGGCCGCTCCTGACCTGGCGCACTTTGGAGTGCCCAACTTATTGCAGTGCGGCCCAGGAGTGTGTTGTGTGCCTCCTTACTTTCAACACCTTCATGACGATCTTCGGCGCAGTGGGCACGCCCGTGTGGTTTGGCATCGGAGAGGCGGGCGTGACAGGCACAATGACATAAGTTGGGCCATTCTTGTGGTTGGAGTGCTTTTCTCTCGCAGGTCGGATTCAGATCTGTAGACGTTGCCATTGAGCAGATTACGCGTTGAGGGAGGGCTGAATGAAGCATTTGTTCGCAACATGCGTTTCGTTGATGGATAGTTCAATAGTTTTTACTTTGGCATGTCCTGAACCCCAGGTCCTGCCCGACTTCGGCGACGAGAACTTGATGGCGGTGGGCTTTCGTGCAGCTGTCGCCCTGAGCACTTGCGCTATCATCTTGGCCCCTTCGGCTTCAGGCTTAAAGACACTTTAAGGCGTATAATTTCTCATTGATCTGTATGGCTGCTCAGAAATGCCTTTGGGTGCAGTGGCGGCACGCGGTGTATGTGATGGTTCGAGGGGTTGGCTTTGTAGGGGTGCAAATCGACAGAGTGGCAACCTGCCAAGCTTTGAACACACTTCCCAGACACAGCTCAAAGCCAGGTTCCCTACGTAGTCCAGATCATTGTGCCCTGGTCAGAGCTGCGGCCGAGCCTGCTTCTTTGGCTTTGCCTTGCCTTTGGTTCTTGCCAGACTTTTGTGGGCTGAGTCTTGCTGGGTGGTGACAAGCTCCCCAAAACGACCAGCCAAGGTTGTACGTGATGCTGAGCACTGCGAGTGTCGTTGTGCCCTTCATCGGACTGCCCCGGGGCTGTTGATCCCGTTGTGTTTGCATTGTGGTGATCCTCTTGCAGTTTGTCGGGGTCCATGTCGCCATGCCAGGCCCATGGCGGCATGTCAGAAGTCTCAGGTCTGTCTTCAACTACGAGTTTCCGAGCTTGGCCGCTGGAATCCTGGGGCTATGTTTGACCACCATCTTCACGCTCCGGGGCACCATGACAAGCGATTCATCGAGCATCAAGGGCTGTGCGCAAAGGGCAAAAGGCAAAAGACCCTTGACAGAGGCGAAGCAGAGGAAGCATCTGGTCTCCCGAAAATTCCGGCTTGCAACCGAATCCCCAGCACTTGCCGTTGAAGCCATCCAGAACGAGGAAATCTGATTGCCCTTTCCACGGCTTGAAGTCCGGCTGTTGTCCCGTTCCCACTTGAGAGAAGACCGTCATCCTGGCATGAACCTGAAGAGTTCTCAAGGGTCACGAGCGGTGGTGATGCAGGCATTGGCCTCGGTCCCCATCAACGCCACGTGGAGCAGACCAGCTCGAAGGACCAGGGGCGTGTTCCTTTTCAAGAAATCACCGGACTTAGGAAGGTGTGAAATCCATTGTGTCATGCTTTGACTTGCGATGTGCCCTTTGGCTTGAGTCTTGATGACTGAGCCGACTGTGAAGCTAGACCACGAACTTGTACATGACGGTCCCAGTTCTAGCAGTAATTGAAGCCTGAAATGTAAAGACTAGGCAGAACTGATGCACAACTCGACAGCTTGGTTTGTGAGCAAAAAGGTCCAAGTCGTGAAGCCGTGCCAGGCCTGGTGCCTCCAACCCTGAACTCCGCCCTTTGACGAATTCGGCACTTGCTATGCAAGATCAGGGTATGAGCCCAAGTACTTCCCTTGTGATGGAAGGGGAAGCCGCGGGGCCCAGTTTATGGTAGTTATGGTGCAGTTACTATGCCTCCTGGCTTGCAGCAGCCTGAGAGTGGAGGCCAGCTTGTGACGGGCTCTGGATTGGAGCTCATGCAAGAGAGGCCGAGCTTCAGTGTTTCGATTCTTGCAGAAGCTGATTCTGTATCAGCGATTGAGGGTAAGCAGGCAGTGGTTATGGACCCAGCTGTTTCCTCTGTAGCTGAAGTCCAGCCAAGATGGAGATGAAGGCGCATGAAGATGAGAGAGTGATGTTACGTCTGAGAACATGCAGCTGAAATCTTTGTTGGAACGAGTGCTGATGGAAGTGCAGACAAGAGGCCTGGACGAACAAAGGAGTCATGATGAGTGTGGAGCTTCGTCGGGACCAATGGGAGACGCGGCTCCAGATGATTCTGAGGCCCGTGATGGCAATCCCGTCGAGCTACCTCATCGCTTCGGTGTACACGCAGAAGCTCCTCGTGCAAAGCAACCAGGCCCGGCCCCACAATTATTCCAACTGATGGTCCTAGTGTCCGAGGAGCTGCTGGAGATCAAAGCGGTGATCTACTTGGGGTTCTTGGGGGAGCTTTCGGACGGGCTTTAGATCCAGGAAGCCTGGGACACGACCTCCTGGAGTTCCGGAGACTGCCGCGTGGGATCGCAGGCGGCAGAATGCAGCCAGACGAGGAGTTGACCCCTCTCCTCATCGCACCGTGGATGACCCCATGGGCGTGCTTATGAAGGAAGTGGCGCAGCTTCAAACAAAGTGCTATGGCAGAGCGATTGCTTCCCGCTCCAAGGATGAAGTTGTGAAGCCGGGGCAGACGGAGCTGCACAAACTACCGGAGCTTTTTTTCACTCGCAGCATCCATGACGGTCGCCTTGCGTTAGGCCTAACAGGCTCCGCCCGGTGATTCAAGATCACTTGACCTATGCCCCGTTGCGTACAACCAAGCAAGCATAGCCATGCCACCCCGTGCCGAAACACAAAGCGAGCGGCATGACCAGTGGAAGTAACTAAAGAAAAAGATGCCAGCGCAGCATCGTGACAAAAGATTTGTGTACTAGTAGACTCGACGCCCGACACCAAGCATGAAGAGGACGTCCCCTCAAGCATGCAAGCAGAGAGCGCTGTAGCCCGTAGCCGAAGCCCGACAGCAGTGACAGGCCCCTGCGTCCAGCAGGCACTGTCACACAACGCTTGGATTGGCCGTAGCATCGTGGTTTACAGCCCTCTCAGCATGCTCCCGCACTGTCTCACTGCAACTCACAACGTTTCAGCCACAGCAAGTACCAATTGCTTTGCAAATGTGAGATGTCACTTTCAGTAGCTGGCCTCGAAAGGCAATCGTCGTCAGTAATGATCCAGTGCGCGTTGGATCGCAGGAAAGCCCTGTAGTGCCCTCGTTGTATAGTATCTCCGTAGTGCACAATCCCCAAGGATCTCGTAAGGAATAGTGCTAATCTCAACGTCAACCTTGTTGTCAAAAACTGGCAACGGCACTACATGCACTACACGATCTCTCAAGCTCACCACTGTTGTCAGTTTGATCTCCTTCTCAGCTTCCTGTTTGAACCTGGAAAGGCCAATACACAAGCACTGAGGAGGCGTCAAGAAAGCATGACGAGCCTCTTGACAATGACACCAGTTCACCATAACATCGCGCAATCCACAACCTGATGCCGGAGTACTAGGGATGCGGACGAGTAATGGCTGCCAACAGTGACCTTGATCTCTGATGTGGAGTCGCCCGGCCTCAAAACGTGATTGCCACGCTCCCCTGAAACCACTTGGTTTGACCTTTGCAAGCAGGAAAGAAGCCCACTCGCACACATCATGCTGTAAATGCAAATCTCGCCAACCCTCAAACAGCTTCATCCAAGGACGTAGCTGCAAAAGATCGATCCGCCGGTCCCCTTGACATAGCACCAGCAATGCATTTGCAGCGGTACCTGCCACCAACCGAAAATCACTGTGTCCACCTGCCCATGCCCAAAGTAAGCAAAGGAATTGATGTAGCATATGTTGTGTCGATTAGTGAGTTGCGCCTCGGAGATGTAGATCAGTTGCTGTTGTTTTTCTTCGACTCGATCGCGCGGGCCAAAGCCTGCACCATCTGATGTCGTTGCAGCCTCTCTTGCTTCATCCGGCACCCCACCAGCTTCAGGACTGTGTTTCCACACAATTTCTGACAGCACTGGTATGCCTGAGAGCAATCCTCGCCTCGAAGTCCGACTGAGAGCAAGAATGGCAGATTTGCTCCGCCATGGGCCTTACCGAGTCATCCTCAACTGACTCACCGTCTCCACCATCTCTTGGTGCTCGATTGCCGGCTTCGTGGTGTCCATCTGCAGCTCCTGCGCCTCGGGATTTCATACCATGTATGCACAGAATCTTGTCGTCCTGTTCTGCCACATAGCGATGCTTGATCATGTTGGCCTTCGTTTCCGGATCCTGCATGAGCTTGACCAGTCTGTTGTAGAACTCGGCGATGTAGCATTGCACCAATGCCACCCTCAACGATTTGTTTGTTGTTGGCGGGCTGGCATCTCGTGCCGCTTTCCACTTCTGGGCTACGGCGAAGAGCGGACGGATCATCCTTTGCGGCCCTGTCTCCATGAGTATCACGAACTGCTTCTCGACCCTCAGCATTTGCAGCTTCGCATCCTGAAGAAGCATGATCTTGGCCATCAGATACACTAGCTGCCCCAAGTCTTTTGAAGAAATGCTTGATGGTACCGGCTTGTCCTGCGACCTTGGTTGGAAGCGCCTGCCGCTGGGCTGTGTCGTCCCGTCCGGCTTCTTCCTCTTGTTCACGTGCCCCTGGTCGTCCGCATCCATTTCCTGAGTGCCGGCCGCCATCAGAGACGGCAAACAATTGCCGAAGACCTCCAGGAGCTCCTTCTCTGATGCCATCAGACTGTCGGCCATAATCACGATGTCCGTAGCGCTTATAAACGCAAACAGAAAACGCGTAATGGAACAACTTAAAGCATGCCCCACTGCGAACGACAGCCTTGTTGAAACCACTGCCGCAGTGCTGACAAGGAGAATGTATGCTAGTAGCCCAAACTGTGCAGTGTTCCACAACTTGTGAACCAATGTCACGCCATACATGCGCATGTTTCTTTGCATGTGTTTGCTCATGCCTCGAATGGTCAGTGCATCGCCACACACAAGACAGCTGTTGCTTAGTGAAGCCGTTTGTTCTGCAGTTGGCGCCGCTTCGCACTTCCCCGAATCTTGGGTGAGAAGGGGTTGGCCCGCCTCTGCCCTAACCATAGAAATCTGCACCAGCACCGGACAAATGTCTGCATGCACTGTTCTAACCTCCGGCATGTCTCCACACCACTTGCATTGCACTGGTGATGATTCGACACTCCTTGTTCCTTACGCCATCTCTGCATCACGGCCTGGTGATCTTGCCATTCTTGTTTGTGAACCCTGCCATAGTGAATTTTGATGTACTTGTCATGTGGCATCCACTGTTTGCAGATAACGCAATGACGCCTTAAGTCCTGCCTCCAAGCTTCATTCACATGCACCCGTGAAAGGTCACTGATATCTTCATCTCCTGAACGTGCTTTCTGCAAGAAGCAGGATTGCACAACAGCTTGTTCTGGGTCTTGCACCTGACAGAATTTGCCCTCAATGTGTTTCCGTAAGTCCGCCCACCTCAGAAAGGCGTGATGGCATCCTGAGCAAGTAGGCATGCCGTCCGTACCATGAACATGTCGATTAAAAGTGCAGAAAGGACTGTTGTGAGGTGTA